CCCTAGAACCATACTTATTGGTCCAAATTAGCCCTCTTGTTAACAGTCTTTGTTAATTTTATCTGACATCCATTAGTTCCAGCTTAAGTAACTGACATGCAAGGCAAAGATATTGGTCAATTTCAGCTTAGTATATTATCAGCTTAGTTTATTAACTTTTCAAATTTTAAAAGAATTAAGGTTTATTTAGTATAACGGTTAAAATTCAATAGAAAGCAGATGGCGGATAATAGTAGCATGTGGTGGTTGGCAGATAGTGGAAAGTAGATAGCAAAATGTGGGTAGTGAATAATAAATAACGAGTTCCATAAATATAACTGTTTGATTATACAATAGTTAGCGGTTGTTGTTTAATATTAAATAACTAATAAGGATATATTTAAAAATAATTAAGTGTATTTTTGTTAATATTTTTTATTTATTATTATTAAAATTATTAATTTTATAAAAATAATAATAAGAAAATAAATAACTAAAATAATTATTAAATTTTATAAAAATAATAATAAGAAAATAAATAACTAAAATTAATTATAATAATGTAATTGCACCCTCATTTCTATTTTTGACAAAGAAAAGATTGTATTATTTTTAAATAAAAAAATTAATCATTTTGTCTAACTAGTAAATTTTGTTTTTTAAGATAATATATTTTTTAATGATAAATTAATGCAAAAAATAAAAATTTTATAATCACTGAATGTTATTAAAAGTAAAAAAATAAAATTGAAACTTATCAGATAAATATTAATTAAAAACTATGATAAAAAATTAAAAATATTAAAAAGATAAATTTATCAATAAAATTAAAAATACCATTAAATAAAATTTTTTACCAAACACTTTATTTGTAGCAGTTTCGAAATATATAAGTTTATTAAACACTTATACTTTGAGCCAGCTTGGTACAACGATTAAAATTCAACGGATAGCGGATAACATGTAGCAAATAGCGGATAGCAGTAGTGAGTAGCATATAACTAGTGGCGGTTAACGGATAGCGGATGGTTGATAGCGGAA